TCCAGGGTGATCCAGTGTATGTGAACAGTGAGATGTTTGGGCGCTGAAGTCGCCATATCCAATCGAGAGTGAACTCGTATCTGAAAGCCATATCTCTAAGCTTTGAGTGGGCGCATGTCGCCAGTATGCTGCATTGCTGTTTACATGCATGAAAAGTGTGTTTGAGAACGAGTTTGATTGCACATAGGTGTCCTCGAGAGTGCAACAGGACTCTGGTGTATGACTTGTGCCATGTAACGAAGAGGACGGCAAAACGGAAGATGTTCCGCAGAACTGCAGGAGGGAAAGTTGCTGAGAGGCAGCCGGGAGTTCCTTTAGAGAGTCTTCTGTGGTTCTCAATAGATGGACAAGCTTCTTCTACAAGGAGCAACATTTTTGTGGTCACTGCAATTGAAAGGAAGACTGTTAACTTTCCTATCGCTCTTCTTTTAGCCCTGAGTACACGGATGAGCAACTACTGACAGGCCAACCAACCGATCGAGAACCCGACAACAGAGACAGAGACAACAACCCACAAATAGACAGAAACACCAGCAGACAGACAGAGAGAGACACCAACAGAGACACTGATAGACAGACAGACAAAAACACAGACATACAATGACACGGATAGACGGAGATGGACAGACGGTCCGACCGATGCACGGACAGGCGAACAGACCGATGGAATGTGCTTCTCCTACGCGAACCGAACTGGAAAGAAACAGAAGGAAGCGCACGAAAGAGACGAGTGAAGATGAGCCACCAGTCGAGAGACAGAGACAGGAAGAGCGGACAGAACGAGAGAAGGAGATGGCGAAGGAGATGGTTAGGATGCAACAGCGATATGAAGAACAGCTGAAGGCGATGAGCGATGAAATCCAAAAGCTGAAAGCCGCTCAGTTCAACTCTGCCCCGACACCCTCAACACCGTCAACATCAAGAGCTAGAACGACCACGCCCGTCTTCACGGATGAGCAACCACTGACAGGCCAACCAACCGATCGAGAACCCGACAACAAAGTCAGAGACAACAACCCACAAATAGACAGAAACACCAGCAGACAGACAGAGAGAGACACCAACAGAGACACTGATAGACACAGACAGAAACACAGACATACAATGACACGGATAGACGAAGATGGACAGACGGGCCGACCGATGCACGGACAGGCGAACAGACCGATGGAATGTGCTTCTCCTACGCGAAGCCGAACTAGAAAGAAACAGAAGGAAGCGCGCGAAAGAGACGAGTGAAGATGAGCCACCAGTCGGGAGACATAGACAGGAAGAGCAGACAGAACGAGAGAAGGAGATGGCGAAGGAGATGTTTAGGATGCAACAACGATATGAAGAACAGCTGAAGGTGATGAGCTATGAAATCCAGAAGCTGAAAGCCGCTCAGTTCAACTCTGCTCTGACACCCTCAACACCGTCAACATCAAGAGCTAGAACGGCCACGCCCGTCTTAGGATTGAGAACTGTTGGACCAGCGGAGCTATTTGCAAGAATGGCACCCAGTCCCCGACGACGAGGGGGAAATGAGGGTGAAGATCCTCTTGGATTCGACAGACTCATAACGGGCAAGAAGGCGGTTGTTGCCGAACCTGGCGAGGAAGGGAAGAAGAAGTTCCTGGAAGACACTAACCGGTTCCTGAAGGCGAAGAATGTCCAGACCTTGTCCAAGATGTGCAAAGACGAGAAGATTATCGACAAAAGTAACCGGAAAGACGACTGAAGCGTTGGCCGAAGGGAGAGTTCAGATGGCCTACAGGAATCGGGTTGAAGCACGGCCTGTCAAGATCAGTGAGCAGATCGACCCGAATGATTGCGATAACCAGTGCTCGTTGCGCACCTGGAAGGACGTTGAGAAGCTCAGTCATGATCCAACCAGAAGAAACGGTAGCCAAGCACAGAGGAGGAAGATCGAGAGAAGGTTGAGACTCCTGGTGGTGAGGCTGACCGAGGAAGGGAAGGCTCCATGGGTGTACAAGTTTCTGCAAAGTTCTACTGGATGGTGCACACGTAACGAGACCTGGTTTAGCGAACCCCAGTCCTGCGTCTACGCACTAGTGTCTCCATGCTTTCTAGCCACGTACACTGGAATGACGACACATACGTTGGAAGAAAGGTGGGAGGATCATCGGAGGATGACGTAAAACAAGGGTGAGGGACGACACCATAAAATTTATCGATGGCTACGGAAGAAAGGCTGGCAGGAGTACCTGGCCATGCCTGTGGTATGTGGTGACGTGGAAGAATTGGGGAGTTTCGAGAAGTTCTATATTTGTAACTTTTGTCCAATACTGAACACCAAAGGCAAAAGGACGAGGAGCAGGAAGAACAGACCGGGAAGAAGGGAGAGACGAGCACGGGGTGACAGAGAGTGCATGACAAGAGCATTGCCCCGGTTGAGATCTTGCACGGGGAAGACAAGAGCTTCTTATTAACCAAGATACTGAGGAAAATCGCATGTGACGGAGTGAAAGGCATGGAACTAGTAATCGGCGAAGGAACCCAGTGGTGTGAGAATTGGTCTGTCGTGAAACGCAGTTTTGGCATGATGGAGATGAGACATGATGGAAGGACGGTTCTCTTGAAGAACCTCAAGCTTAGCAACCTGCAAAAGGGACCTTGCTGGGTGGTTAGGGTGGTGGAGAGCAAAGCACACCATGATAGCTACCTGCTGACCGCGCTACTGAGAATCCAGTGTATAGGAGAACACTATATTCCCCAACATTTACATTGGATCGTCTTATTGGGTTGTACTATGGGATAAGAGGATTCCGTGAGGTGAGGTCTAGAGCAATCCTTAGAGGACTAATTACACAAGTAATCAAGTCCAGATTTGCTGTGAATGTGAGGCGTCAAGTAATCATTAGAATACGCTATGAGGAAGGACTGGACAAGTATCAGATTTCTAGAGCATGTAAGGATAGGATCAAGATGGCATGCGCTACTGCGAGGATGGGAGAGTTCGTGTGTAGAAGAATACGAGTAGTATGGGTAAGGGCGAAGTCCGTACGGTAATTATTGCACAATCATCGACGGTTTGCAAGGTTGGCTGGAGACACGGTGACATGTGTATGTAATGAGTTGGACTTGCATAGGAACAAGGAAGGACATATCAATTTTCATTTCTCTAAAGGTGGAGAAGTTGCTACCGGGCCCGTGAACTCGAAGAACATACCCAGACTGTGGCATACTGCGTAGCCACACGGGCCCTGCAGGGCCCGTCCCGCACTTTAAGTCTAAAAGCCTAGAAAATAGGGCTTACAAGCCCCGGTCGTTTCAGCCTGAAACTGAAAAACGAGGGCCTGCAGGCCCTATTCCGTTTTCAGCCTATTCCTGGGCCTTTCGGGCCCAGAGGCTTTTCAGCCTGAAACGGAGGGCCATTTTCAGGCCCTCATTGTTTCCACCGACCCTAAGACTCAGGCACAAAAACAGGGTTTTCGAAACAGGCTATCTTTAGCCTGTTCCCCACGACTCAAGCACGAGCTGCAGCAGCAGCCCTGCCTCCCTTCGGCATTGGCAAGAGCAGCCTCCTGGACTGCCTCGCCTGCAGTCAGGAGGCACCCGTGTAGTACATAGGTAGTTCCCATGC